CTGAGACAGGGTTTCTTTGGGTAGCTTTGGTTCCTGTTCTGGATCTCTCTCTGTAGACCAGGCTGGCCTAGAACTCACAGAGATCCACCTGGCTCTGCCTCTTGAATGCTGGGATTAAAGGCTTGCACCACCACCACCCGGCCCAAATACACACACACACACACACACACACACACACACAGAGAGAGAGAGAGAGAGAGACGAGGTTTCTCTGTGTAGCCCTGGCTGTCTTGGAACCCTCTATGTAGAAGTTTCCAGGTTGGCCTCAAACTCACAGAGATCCTTCTGCCTCTGTTCCCAAGAATAAAATATCTTAAACAAAGCTAACCATCACACAGCCCTTGTGTAGGATGTGATGGGAGGAAGGTGACTGCCTGGCTACTTGGTGGAACTGGGAAAATAACTGAAGGTCTAAATATTCTTTAAGTAGATACTTAGCCAGTTCTGTTTTGGGGGCCCATTCTTTCCTTTTTAGATTTATTTATTTGCATATTTTATGTGTATGAGTACTTGGTCTGCATGTGTGCCTGAATGCCAGAAGAGGGAATTAGATCCCATTATAGATGGTTGTGAGCCACCATATGGTTCCTGGGAATTGAACTCAGGACTTCTAGAAGAGCAGCCAGTGCTCTTTACCGCTGAGCCATGTCTCTAGTCCTTGGGGCACATTCTTGAGTTTTTCCTTCAGAGACACATTGTACCTCTTAATTCCTGCAGGATAATAATGTGAATTATATTGCTTTTGAGTGGACTTCCTTTCTTTAGGCACAAGTTGAATGTTTTGGGCTCTACCAATTCAAATTTGTCTTGTTTCTTTATTAGTTTTGTTGCTATGCTCTGTTGTCTCCCTTCTGAATCTCTTCACTCTTCTGTGTTTAAATATTCAAAATGTGTTTTATTGCCATGTAGAATTGATTTGTAGAGGAAATGAAGAACCACACGTATCTTCTGTCTTACATTCTACTTACTGTGTTCAGGCTGCTTTGTTAGTTGTTTTCTAAAGAAAACTTCTGTGAAATTTGGACCAGCAGTAATTGCATCACCTGGGACTTGCTAGAAATACAGACTTCTGGGCCCTAACCCATATCTGGCAATTGTGTTGTAGATTTTACTTTGTGCGAGTTATTTATATTGAATGTAAAAAAAAAAGAATGTTTTTACAGTCCTGCAACCTGAGAGAGACATTACACATTTTAAACTGCTAATCTTTATGTTAAGTGGATAAGTAGAAGAATTTCAAAATTGAGTAGTTATTTTATTTATTTATTTTGTTTTTTCAAGACAGGGTTTCTCTGTGTAGTTTTGGTGCCTGTCCTGGATCTCGCTCTGTAGACCAGGCTGGCCTCAAGTAGTTATATTTTCAGCTGTAGCTAGTTTTATAAGCCGTATCAAAACCTTTTCAAACAAGGAAGGTATTAGCTAGGGAAGTGGCTTCCTGACCAGGGGCTTGACTTAAATGCACAAGGCTCTGGGTTTGATCTCCAGTGCTACCAAATGTTTCTTGTGTGTATAATAACAAGTTCTTCCTACATCTTAATTTCAGCAGTCTGACAGTCTGATTCACATTCTTCTAACAAACCAACACACAAACAAACAAAACCTTCAAGGCCTAAGAATATGTATCAGTGTAGTTAGTGCCTGCTTAATAAGCTCAAGGCCCTAGGTTCAGTTTCTAGTATCACAAAACAAAAATAGCTTTATTGCAATATAAATTACCTATCATAGTATGGACATAATTCATGGACATTGCATTATAGTGATTCTTAAATTAGTATATTCAGAGTTGCTATCACCATAGTCAAAATTGAAACATTATTAGCCTGCAAGAAATCCTGTATATACCAGTAGTCACCTTCTGTTCCCTTTAATCTCGCAGCCTGGCTCAGCATTGATCTATTTCCTATCTCTGTCAATTTGTCTATTCTGGACAATGGGATTATGTAATCGTCAGGTCCAAAGGAAACTCCATTTCCCAGAAGACATCTAAATCTCTATTAAGACTGAATTTAACTAGGTGGTAGCGGTGCAAACCTTTAATCGCAGCACTCGAGAGGCAGCAGGTGGAGTTTGTGGCCAGCCTGCTCTGTAGAGCAAGTTCCAGGACGGCTGGAAGGGTGAGGGGTCGGGGAAACGACACTTAATTTAGCAATCTGAGGGAGAGATGAGCAAGCAGAGTAAAGTAAGATTTTTGAGAGTGGAGAGCAGAGAAAGTTTAGAGATAAGCGATTTTAGGATCATTTGTTTGTTATAATTAACAAATTATAACAACAGAAGTTGTTATAATCTAAGAATTTGGAAATCTAGTGTGCCATTTTTGGCTGTTGATCTATACTGAGGCCAAGGCATTTGCAGTAAGACATCTAGTCCTAATGGAATCTCTGAATTTGAAGAGGAAAAGAGATTCAAAGAGGCAGCCAGGAGCAGAGTAAGAGGATGGGCAAAAGAGACAGAGCAGGCTTGAGGAGTGAGCTGAGAACCGGTGGGGAGCGAGAGCAAGGATGGGAGAGAGAAGGGCAAGTGTCCTAGCGATGAGAATTTCAATCCAGAGAGACTTGTCAGAGAGAAATGTCCCAAATCATCAAGGAGAGGTGTCCTTTCCATGTGATGGGTGCCCAGTAGGGCAAGAGTAGCTGCTTGGCATACCAGTACAACTTTTGTATTGACAGAGGAAGCTGCAAGAGGGAGCTGACAGAGACAGATGGCAGCTCTGAGGTGACACCCTAGTACTAGGAGAGAGCAGCTGGAGGGAGGAAGTGGTTGAGCAGTAGACTCTAAAATATGGAGTCCAATATGGTGGGTGGCAGAAGACAGCAGAAACAAATGATCCAGAGTCAAATCAGCAGCTTGGTTCGGTTAGGAGAGGCTGGGACCCTTGGAAAGGGGCAGCATAAACTGCCCCTCCTGAGTATCTTGGCATCAGATATACAAACTGACAACATGACCGCTTTTATTGTAGATATGAGAAAGAACAGCCAGAGGCATCTGAAAGAGTCCAGAGCAGAGAGAGAAAAATAGTAGACCGAACACGGCCAGCAGACTGGACCTGGCCATGAGTGAAGCAGGAGAAAGTGTATGTGGGGTGTGGGAGAGCAGAGAAAGGGGGAGGAGGGAGACAGATAGACAGGGGAGGTCAAAAAAGAAGAGGGAGCATAGCGGGGATAGCAGGGCTCTAAGGAGAATGCGAGGCTGGGGGAGGGAGGCTGCTGAGCTGGATGGAGTTTAGGGTAGGGAAGGAGGTGAGAAGGGTTAGGATGCCAGCATGGGGCTTGAAGTGTGTAACAGGTACCTGTGATACTCAGGGAGCCTGGAAGCCAGCATGTTCTTTGGTATGCTAATAGGCACCACATATGTCCTTCTTCCTTTTGGAATTCAGAGAAGTGGAGTTTCCTTTGGACCTAACAATAATGTGTGATCATGATTAGCTTTCAAAGTTCATCATAATGTTTTTCAACCCATCTATATTCTATAATCACTGCTTCATTACTTTTTTTTTTTTTTTTTTTTGGTTTTTTCAAGACAGGGTTTCTCTGTGTAGCTTTGCGCCTTTCCTGGAGCTCACTTGGTAGCCCAGGCTGGCCTCGAACTCACAGAGATCCGCCTGGCTCTGCCTCCCGAGTGCTGGGATTAAAGGCGTGCGCCACCAACGCCCGGCCTGCTTCATTACTTTTATTGTTGAATAATACTGTATTATACAGATACAAATTACAGATTGTCTCATCTCCTGATATAAACTCTTATTATTTCCACTTTTTGGCTATCACAGGTTGTTCAACTATGAACATTACATACAGGCTTTTCTGTGGATATAATATTTCATTTTTCTTGAATATGTAAAATTGTTGAGCCATCAGGTGACTGCTTAACCTTTGAGGATGCCAGGCTGTTTGTTAAGAAGCTCATTATTTTTATATCCCTAGCAGTCGTATGGGGTGTGCCTGCCTTCCATCTTCACTCATTTGTTACCTTATTTTTAATTAGAATTACCTTTTTGGTATAAAATAGTGTCTCATTATCTCATTATGGATTTTTTTTTTTTTTTTTTGAGACAGGGTTTCTCTGTGTAGTCTCCTGGCTGTTCTGGAACTTGCTCTAGAAACTAGGCTGGCCTCAAAACATAGAGATCTGCCTGCCTCTGCCTCCCGAGTGGTGGATTAAAAGCATGTATCACCACTGCTTGGCTCATTATGGAATGTTTCTTTCTTTTTGAAGATCATTTCTTAAGAATTGTATACCCCAGATTGGTCTGGAAATATTTATGTACCCCAGCTTGACCTCAAACTCCTATTCAGCTTCCTGCGTGCTAGGAGTCCAGCATGCACAATCATGCCCTGCCTGTCTGATTTTGTTTTGCATTTCCTTGATGACTGACGATGTTGAGCATCTTTTCATGTGCTTGCTTTGGCCATTTGTATATCTTTTCTTAAATTTAGTGTGTATGTGCTAATCACAATGTATACGTAGTAGTCAAAAGATGGTTCCTTCCATCTTTCTGTGGGCCCTGGAGACTTGAACTTAGGTCATCAGGCTAACTCAACACACACTTTACCTGTAGGCCACTCTGGTCTACACAGTACATTCCAGAACAGTTAGGATTACACAGTGAGACCCCATCTGAAGAAGAAAAAGAATACCTAAAATCTGATATGGTGGTACATTGCCAATATCCAATATAATAATATTATTTAGAGTCTTTGTGTTGTTACACATTAGTCACTTAATATCTTTTGGAATGAATTGCTCAGATTAGGGATTTATTTGTGTTTTAAAGATGTTAAATTTTGCTGAAGTGAAAGTATTTTATGAGGAGGGGAAACCTTTAATTTTTCAGACAAGTATTAGTAACATTTCAAAAGTGCCCCCCTGGCTAACATTAATATGACAGCTGGTTTGACTGGCAGTTGTTTGAATCTTATTGCACACGGTTAAGGAGCTATTCCTGGGTGAGGAAATTACAAAATGAATAATTTGCATATACAAAATAATATAAATTTCTCTTCTAGCTCTTCCACCAAAGCCACCGAAGCCAATGACTTCAGCAGTTACAAATGGAATGAAGGACAGTTTTATTTCTCTTCAAGACGCAGAATGGTACTGGGGAGATATTTCAAGGTAACTAAAATGCTACTCTAATTGAATGCAGTGTTTTTCATTGATTCTGAGAGTTAGTAGTTAGACATTTTAATGCTCTACTGGTTTTCATTTAAAGATTACCCTTTTAAGACTTGTGTATGGGAACCCTTCAAAAGTGTATTTAGGGGTTGGTAAGATGGCTCAGAGGTTTAAAGGTGCTTTTGTGGCCAAGCCTGATTACCTGAGTTCAATTCCCTGGATTCTCATCAGAAGAAAACTGACTCCACAAGTTGTCCCCGACCTTCCCTTCTGACACACATTATGATATGGCAGCATGCGCACACCCCGCCCCCATGAAATTTCTTTTTTAAAAAGAGCCTTTAGGGGTTGGAGTGGTTAATGAGCACTTGTTGCTCTCCCAGAGGACTTGGGTTTGACTTCTAATGCCCTCGTGGTGGCTCACAACCATCTATAACTCCAGTTCCAGAGGATATAATATCTTTTTGTCTCCACAGCCACTGCATGTGTGTGGTAAGCAGGCGTACATACAGGCAGAGTACTCATACACATTTAAAACATTCTTTAAGACAGTGCCATTCTTTCATTCTCATGACAAAAGAACAGGAAGATCTTTGGGTTATGGGTGTGATTATACTTTTTCATACTGTGTCAAGGAGTAACTTTTGAGTAGACGATCCTTAAATGTTTAAGATAGTTCCATGTGATTTATAATGAAAGATGCTTATTTTATGAACTTAGATTTCTTTACCTCCTTTTTTTTTCTTTTTTTAAAATTTTATTTATAATTTAATTTAATTTTACATATCAGCCACGGATTCCCTTGTTCTCCCCCCTCCCGTCTCCCATTCCCATCTCCTCCAGGGCGAAGACTCCCCTGAGGATTGAGTTTAACTTGGTAGATTCAGTCCAGGCAGGTCCAGTCCCCTCCTCCCAGGCTGAGCCAAGTGTCCCTGTATAGGCCCCAGGTTCCAAACAGCCAGCACATGCACTGAGGACAGGTCCCGGTCCCAGTGCCTGGATGCCTCCCAAACAGATCAAGCTAATCAACTGTCTCACTTATCCAGAGGGCCTTTAGATAGGCTCTCATTCTGAAGTTTTAGCTGGCCTGAAACTCACCAGAAATCCCCTCTGCCTCCTGTGGGTCACCATGCCTGGCCTTCCCTTACTTTTCTTTGTATCCCAGTCAGGCCTTGAATTTGGGACCCTCCCCAGCCTGCACCACTTGGCTTGGCTCCTTTCCTTTTTCTCCCTAAGGCGGTGGTTCTAAAATCTTTGTACAGGAGTCATTTGAGATGGAGCACAAGGCAAGGTCTTGCTTTGTAATCAATGCTGACCTAGAACCTTCTCAAACTTTTGATCGCTTGCCTCAGTCTTTTTAGTGCTAAGATTATAGGCAAGTTCCGCCATACCCATCGTTAGGTGACTTTGATGCAGTTCTTTTTGTTTCTTTTCTTTTCTTTTCTTTTTTTTTTTTTTTTTGAGACAGGGTTTCTCTGTGTAGTTTTGGTGCCTGTCCTGGATCTCGATCTGTAGATAGGCTGGCCTCGAATTCACAGAGATCTGCCTGGCTCTGCCTCCCCAGTGGGATTAAGGTGTGTGCCACCACTGCCTGGCTTTGTTTTCATTTTTTGAGATATGTCTCACTGTGCAGCTCTGGCTGTCCTGGAACTTGCTCTATAGACCAGGCTGGCCTCAAACTCACAGAGATCCACCTGCCTCTGTTTCCTGAGTGATGGCACTAGAGGCATGCATCACTACACCTGGTTTGAAATAGTTTTTTTTAATTATTGCTTTTAGTTTTTAAAACTACATCATTTTTCCCTTCCCTTGCCTCCCTCCAAATTCCCATATATTCTTCCATGCTTTTTCAAATTCATGACTTCTTTTTGTAATTTCTTTATATAGCTCTTTCTTTGAAAAAGCCATCCAAGACAGATCTGCTTGTTGTGTAAAATGTGGATTTGGATAATTTTGAATACAGAGAGGGAATATTTGTATACTCATACATTATTTTTCTTAATTTGAATCTTGTATCTTTTATTTATATTTTTTCTCATTAAAGTTTAATGGGTCTCTAAAGTTTTGTCGTTTTTTTTTTTTTTTTTTTTGAGTCAGAGTCTCAATGTGTAGAACAGTCTGGCTAGAAGCATGGTTTGTAGACCCTGCTGACCTTGACTTAATCCCCCCACTTCAGCCTCTTGAATGACCAGTTTATAAGTTTGCACTATCATGCCTAATATCTAGTGTATTTCCTATTTTTTATTTTTTAAACCTTGACTGTTTATGTCAAAGCAGGCTCTAGTTTGATGCTGTATTGCCATAATACACCACCAGTCCTTCTTTCTCTTACCTGTCCAATGGTCCTCATTCCATGTCTTTGTTACCCGTACCATCTGACGTGTATCTTTTCATTGGTATCTGGTACATCCATACTGTTACCCACATAATTACCATCTGTCTTCAGAACACTTGCGTCTTTCTAACTTAAACTCTGCCTGTTAAAACAGAAACGCTCTTCCTTTCTTAGCCCTTCCTAATCAGGCTTTTACTTTGTTTTTATGAATTCAACTACTGTAGGTAGTGGGATTATACAATATTATACACTTATGATGGGCTTTTCATTTATTTCAGATATCTTCATAGTTACTCATGTGTCAGAATTTCATTTCCTTTTTAAGCCTAAATATATCCCAATATTGGTAAATATCATATTTTGTTTATTCATTTTATCTTTTGTGCTGTTGTGCATGATGCTGTTATGAATATTACTTATAAATATATATCTGCTTGAGTTCTTGTTTTTGGTGATTTTGGATATTTGCCCAGAAGTGGAACTGCTAGATCATTTGTTAGTCTGTGTTTAACTTTTGAAAAGGACTTAATACATTTTAGATTAAAATTCAGTAGACCAATTTTTTAGTATTATACAGTAAGAGTGTTTTTAAATACTTAAAGGTGCAACAGGCTTTCTGTTTTGAGCCACCAACCAGCTCACAAATCATGACATGGAGACTTCTTATTAGTTATGAATGCTCGGTCTTATCTTATGTTTGTCCCACCAGCTCTTATAACTTAACCTGTTTCTCTTCATCTGTGTTTTGCCTCTGGGTTTTTTTTTTTTATCTCTAGTGGCTCCCTGGATTCTGGCCCTGTGCGTGTCCCTCTCTTTCTATCTCATTCCGCCCCTCTCTCCAGTCTAGATCTCTCCTCATACTTATTCTGTTCACCAGCTCCACCTATTCCTCTCCTGCCTAGCTGTTGGCCATTCAGCTTTTTATTAGAGCAGTTGGGGGCTTTAGGCAGGCAAGGTGAAACAAATGCAACACACCTTTACATAATTAAACAAATATAGCATAAACAAATGTAACACATCTTTACATCTTTAACAAAGGCAGCAGAAACAAATGCAGCACACCTTTACGCAGTTAAAGTAATATTCCACAGCATAAACAAATGTAACACATCTTTGCCTAAATAAAGTAATATTCTACAACATAAAGGCCATCTAAACTATACTTTAAAATCATGTTCTTCCTGAGATTCCTAAACTGCAGAAGGAATTTGTTAACATGAATTCAAATGAGAGAGCACAGTGTTGATAGGCTGTGAACGTCAGTAACAGCTGCCATTCCTGCTTAAAATAATGCCCTTCTTCTTAAACAGCTGTGGGTTTTTCTTGAAACTCTTCATGTTCAGGCCTGCCTAAGAAAGCCCTAAAGGCATATTAGAAACATGATCTGTACAGACCATTGAAATCTAGAGGAGTTAAACATCAAGTATTCTTTCCCTAGATTACATAATAACAAAAATAAAAACAGAAATCGTTTCCATGGGGAGGACCTAGGTGACCACTGGGGACTTGAGGGTATTGTAACCTTCCAGCTGATCTTGATAATAATATTCAAAGACAACCAGTATTTAAGTTTTTTTTTTTTTCCTTTTTCAAATGTTTCCTATAATTTTGCTTCTCAGGGAAGAGGTAAATGACAAATTACGGGACATGCCAGATGGTACTTTCTTAGTGCGTGATGCCTCAACAAAAATGCAGGGGGACTATACATTGACTTTGAGGTAAGTGCTTTTCTGCCTTTGGCTAGTGTCTTCCTAGCATGAGTATATAGAGTTCTGTATTTTGCTTAAATATTTACATATTTTCCATATTTTTATTTAGATATATAATTTTTAGTTTAGCTAACATTTTAACTTTAAAATTCCTTTCCTGGGGGTTGGGGATTTAGCTCAGTGGTAGAGCGCTTGCTCAGCTCCGGAGGGGGAAAAATCCCTTTCCTGTACATAAAATATTTAAATATAAAATTATGCCTATTTCATTTTTATATTTTAAATATATGTAGCAATAAAATAAAAACGCTAAAATTCCTAAATGTTATTGAGTAAGGAATATATTATCTTATTCTCTTACTTCATTAATGAAGTAAATGTCATGGGTATAGCTCAAGGTTATTAATGAGTGAGCCTAACTCTCTAAAAATTCTATTTTTTCCTAGTGTGGGCTCTAGGAAGTAGAACTCAGCATAATTTTGACAGATTAGGATATATAGACATTAAAACAGCCCTCAGCCTGTACTGTGCCGTCCATATGGACATACTAGTATTTTATAAATGGTAGAGATATGAAATTTTATACTTATAAATATGGGACATATATTAAAAACAGGTTAAGAGAAACTGTTAAATATTTCAACATTTATTTTTATTCATTAGAATCACATAATTGTGAGCTGGAGAGATGGCTCAGTATTTAAGAGCAGATGTAGCTCTTGAGGACCTGATTTTGGTGGTTTTTTGTATCCACATCAGGTGGCCCACAACTGCCTGTAACTGCAGCTCCAGAAGATCAGATGCCCTCTCTGACCTCCATAAACATATGCCTAATTTAAATAAAAATAAATATTAAAATCACCTAATTGTAATAAAGTTTAGTGATTTGTTGGTATAATATTAGTGGTTCATTCATTTACTCATTCATTAAAGCTTCATATATACTAGGCAAGTGCTCTACCTCTACCACTACATTCCCCAGCCATTTACTTATTTATCTGTTGAAGCAGAGTCTTACTGTTTAGCTCTGGCTAAACTGGAACTCATTATATAGACAGAGCTGGCCTTGACCTCAAGAGATCCACTTACCTCTACCTCCCTGTACTGTAATTAAAGGATTAAAAGTGTGTGTGAGGTATGTGTGTGGGCACATGTCCTGTAGCACTCATGTGGAGGTCAAAGGACAACTTTGTGGAGTCAGTTCTGTTTTCACCTTTAATTGGGTACTGTAAACAGAGTTTTCTGAGTTTTTTGGTCCCAACTGCCTGGTCCCAAATAAACACTCAAGAGGCTTATATATGTATATAAATGCTTGGCCAATAGCTCAGGCTTATTACTAACTAGCTCTTACATTTAAATTAACCCATTTGTAGCATGAATCTTAAAAGTTCTTATTAATGAAATCAAACCTGAGGCCAGTTATTGGGGTGAACTGGAAGATCAGAGAACTAGAACAAGCCACAGCTACCTCACCTCACGGGATCCTCACCTGGTCTTGTTTCCTCAGACTGGAGGCCTCTGATTCCTCATCCAGAATGTGTCTCAGCTGAACTGTTGCTAGAAGCCTAAAAGCTTAACCAGTTAAATGCCTAACCAGGCCAAATGCTTCTAGTTCCTGGTCCTCACACCTTATGTATCTTTCTGCCTTCTACCATCACTCCCTGGGATTAAAGGCATGAATCACCATGCTTGGCTGTATCTTTGAACACATGGATTTCTGTCTAGCTCTGCCTCCCAAGTGCTGGAATTAAAGGCGTGTGCTACCACTGCCTATCCTCTATGTTTCAAATTGTGGCTGTTCTGTCTCTGACCCCAGATAAGTTTATTAGGGTGCACAGTATTTCGGGGAACACAATACTACCACACCCATTCTTATTAATCTATGTATTGCCGTGGGGTTCATGGCTTTACCTGTCCTCTAGCATCTTGCTTCTTGGGCAGCTTGCTGGCATCTACCCTGGCTCCCTATTTCTTCATTCCAGTCCTCAGTTTGATTGTCCCACTTGACTTTATTCTGCCTTGCTATAAGCCAATCAACTTTATTATTAATCAATGAGAGTAATACATATTCACAGCATACAGAAGGATTATCCCACAGCAGGGTACTATGAAGCAAACCATATTGTCAGGGTGGTGCAGTAAATGATGCCTTTACCTACTGTGCCATCTCACTGGACCCCTAGAATTTTTCTTTTCTTTTCCTTTTTCTTTTTTTCTCTCTTAGACAGGGTTTCTCTGTGTAGCCCTGGCTATTCTGGAACTTGTTCAATAGATCAGGCTGGCCTTGAACTCAGAAATCCACCTGCCTATGCCTCCAGTGCTGGAATTAAAGGCATGCACCACCATGCCAGGCTCTAGAAATTTTTTTACCCCCTGGAACTCACTCTGTAGACCAGGATGGCTTCAAACAAGGAGATCCACTTATTTCTGCCTCCCAAGTGCTGGGATTTAAGGCATGTACCACTGCCCAGCTATAAAATGCTTTTAATCTCACTGAGATGCTATTTTATCCCTAGATTCTTAATCATAACTAACTAAAAATAAGTAATTTATGTTATGCACAATAGTAAAGCCTGTAAATGTTATATAACTGGGCTGGCAAGATAGTTAGGCAGGTAAAGGTACTTGCTGCCATACCTGATGACTTGAGTTTAATCTCTAGGACATATATGGTAGAAGGAGAGAACTGACTCCTATAAATTGTTTCCTAACCTCCACAGACTCAGTAGCATGTGTACAACCCCTCCCAGTACATACTTACATACATACATACATACATACATACATACATACATACATGGGATAAATTTTTAAAGTTATATAACTTAGCTGAAGATTCAGTATTCTTCAGGAGTAAAAACAAGCAGTGATTTCTAGTCGAGGACCACCTTTAGGATTTGATGCTAAAAGGAATTAGGTTGGGGAGTTGGCTCAGTGGTTAGGAGCACTGCTGCAGAAGACCTGGGTTCAATTCCCAGCACCCACATGGGCAGCTCACACCAACCATCTGAGGTTCTGATCCTAGGGGATCTGACATCCTCTTCTGACCTTGGTGGGTACCAGTCATGCCTGGAGTGTACATATATATATATACACACACATACAAGCAAAACACCTGTACACGTATAATAATAAAATTTGTTTTGTTTTGTTTTGTTGAGACAGGGTTTCTCTATGTAGCCCTGGCTGTTCTGGAATTCACTTTGTAGACCAGGTTGGCTTCAAACTCACAGAGATCCTCCTATCTTTGCCTCCTCAGTGCTGGGATTAAAGGTGTGCAACACCATACCTGGCTGTAATAATAAAATAATTTTTCAAAAATTAAAGGAATTTTCAATATTTCCTCGTTTACATGGATTTCTCCAGATGTAGGAATTCCTTGAATAGCATTGCTCAGAAAAGGGGCCTGTGACCTTCCTTTAGAGGCAGTCCCTTCTGTTGTTGAGCAGTAATAAAGTTTAGAAGATTACTTTTGCATTGGACATTGTTTGTAGGAGTAGGACTAGTGATATACTTAAGACATGTTTTTACCCTGTGGAGTTTATAATCCAAGTGTGTAATAGTAGAGTAGGAGAAACAAACATACACTATATCTTAATTGTTTCATTAGAGTTTATCTAATTTTCCCATCTTTCTCTTTCTTTTTGTTTTGCTTTGGTTTGTTTGTTTGTTTCAGTATACCCATAGCTGTACTGGAACTTGCTATGTAGATTAGACTGGCTTCGAACTTACAGAGATCTGCCTGCTCTCCCAACTATTCAGATTGAAGATGTATGCCACCACACTCAGCTCCTTGTTTTTAATCCCTGTAACTATTGTTTTGCATTTTTTTTTTTTTTTTTGGTTTTTCGAGACAGGGTTTCTCTGTGTAGCTTTGCGCCTTTCCTGGGACTCACTTGGTAGCCCAGGCTGGCCTCGAACTCACAGAGATCCGCCTGGCTCTGCCTCCCGAGTGCTGGGATTAAAGGCGTGCGCCACCACCGCCCGGCTTTGTTTTGCATTTTGTCTCTAAAGTTTATTATTTAGGGGCCTCAAATACACAAAATCATACATTATTTTTCCTGCTGTGTCTTGCTGTGTCATTCTTCAGTTTAACATCTTCTAGGTTCATATATGTTATAGCATGGATTTGAATTATATTTCCAATAAGGCTGAATAATATTCTGTTCTATGCATATAATGTATTTTAGTTGTCTATTCATTAGTTGGTAGATATTGACAAGAATGCTTTAAGGTTTTTATCCATTTAGAAAAGACTGGCAAATAGTTGGTTTTCAGTAAATAATAGACTAGAGGATAGATTAGATGAGAGGACAGGGAAGCTTTCTTAGAGGTAATGGCATTTGAACTGTCCCTTTATTGGTTTTGCTAGGCAGACAAATGAACTTAATTCAGTTTAATAAACAATCTCAGTGATATTTAATTACACAGGTCATCTAACAAGTTAAATCTTTTGTCTGTTGTAACTCCCACCCAGGAGGCATAGGCAGGAGGATTATACATTTAACCTTACCTGGTTAACTTACTGAGACTTTCTCAAAATAAGAAGTGAAGGGTGAAGGGGCTAGAGAGATGGCTCAGTAGTTAAGAGCACTCATTGGCCTGAGTTCAGTTCCTATCACCCACATGACAGCTCACAACCATCTGTAACTCCATTCCAGAATATCTGATGTCCTCTTCTGGCCTGTATGAGCACCAGGGAAGCACATGGTGCAGAGATATACATGCAGGCACACACCTATACACATAAAAAAAAAATTAAAATAGGATGGGCATACAGCTCAGTCTTGGAGTGCTTGCTTAGCATGAATGAGGACCCTAGGTCCCAGCCCCAGTGCTGCCCGAATAACAAAACAAGTTTTGCCTAAAGGACCACTTAGGCAGGTAAAGGCAAAAGAAGTAAGAAAGCTGTATTGAACAGGAGTTAAAGTAATAAAGTTTCAAAAAATATGCTTTGGGGGCTGAAAGAAAGAAAGGCAATTTACTGTTAAGGGCATATCAAAAGCTGACTT